GGGGACGCTGCCTCGGGGATTACAGGATCCAAGGGGACGGGAGCTTTGAAGGCTGGTTGTTACGTAGCATGGGAACTGCAGGTGGTTTGGGGGAGTGGGGCTCCTCCCCCCGGAATACCTGAAGGAAGCTGCTGGTGCAGGAGAAGTTTATGCTCTTCCCACTCTGCCCTGGAACCCCGGGCCCCTGGGGAGCCTGTCCCCCAGTGTCTGTCTCTAACTCGCTGCTGGTCTCTGAGCCGTGCCCAGATACCGCTGTGCTGGGCACGTTGCTCGGGGCGGGTGGGACTGGCTGCGTCCCGCCCTGCGGGCCTGACTGTTAAGTACTCAGCAGCAGGAGCCACGTGCATTGCCATCAACCTCCCTGGCTCATGGCCTGAGGCCGCGTGGAGCGTTGGCTTGTTGTGACGTGTGGTAGGGTGAGAAGCAGGGGCAGAGAGAGCACGGGGGGGGAGGGAAGGGCGCTGGCATGTCTGTGTGCCCACGGCTGTGTGTCTTTCGAAGATTCAGGCAATCTCAGCTTCTGAGCCAACGTCCTGGGTTTCTCACTGCTAGGCCCATGAACTCCCCCAGCTCGGTTCCTTCTGCACCTTGTACGATCCCCATCAAGAGCGGACCCCGGGGCAGAACGGAGTTGGCGCCTGTGCAGGGAAGGGAGAACAGAGCCCTGCCCACTCTCCCCAATCCCTCCTGGTGCAGCCGCCGGGGTGGCTGTTCAGATTCTGGATTTCACGTGGCTGGGACGGTCCGACCAGCATGTCTAGTGGGCAGCTGATGCAGAGCAATTACAGGGCCCCGAGCCGCAGTGGAGGTGGGGTGGGAATACACCGCGCTGGCTCGGCCCCCACAGAGGGAATAAGGGCACCGTCGGGGAAGCTGTGTCTGGCCTGCGATGGGAAGAGATGGGCCCACGTTGGCGCGTAGTGGCCCTTGGGGAGGGTAGTGGACACAGGGCCACTCGCAGACCAGTTGTGTTGAAAGGCAGGAGCGGTTAGTAGGCACCCCCCCCCCCCCAGCTCCCTTTGGCTAAGCCACCCAACCAGCCCTGAGTCAGGTGGGAAGGAGCCCGCCGGGGGTGTGCTGTGGACTCGCCAGGAGCCCGCAGACATGGGGTCGGGGTGGGCCAAAGGAGTGGATGTGGGTTGGTTCTGGAACCTCACCCCTCCAGGATACGCACGCCCACCCAGGGAGGGGAAAGATATGAGGGCTAAGCTTGGCGGGCCTGGTTTAGAAGGGACGAGGTGGCAAAAGCCCAGGAGCTGCTTCTGGGAACTGCTCCCCCACCCCCAAACTGGAAACAGCCCCTGAAAGAGGCTGTGATGGGAGAGAATGTGGGGTCGGGGGGGGGGAGATTCCCCCTCCTCAAATTGGGGTGAGGCTCTGGGAGCTTGAAACCCCCGCCCTATGGGGATGGGGGGTGACACACATAGTGATGACGTGTCCTCTCAGCAGCCCCCTCCCCACCTCTAACCTCAAAGGGGGAGTGGAAGCCCTGGGGAGGGTCAGTCCCATCACAAGGAGGCTCCGGGCCTGACTCCTTGAACTTTGGGGGAAAACCTATTCTTCTAGCTGAACTTCCCTAATAAAAGCTCCGGTTTGATTCTGATTTAACGGCCCCAGGTTGTTTTAATCCCGCCAGGGCTGCAGATTTGCCCTGGGGCGAAGGCTGGCCGTGCCCTGCAGCTGTCTCTACATCGCCCGCTCTCCAGGCACTGAGCATACAGCCCTGGTGTCCCTGCACCGAGTGGCCCCCCAAGAAAACACCCCAGATCTGCCTGGTCCTCAGCCCTCTTACACCCCAACCCCCACCCTTGGGCGAGTGCGTGGAGGGGGAGGGAATGCGGCACTCCCGCGGCTGGGGGCTTGTCCTCTCCCAGGCAGAGCAGAGTGTGTTGGCTCGGGGCAGGAGTGGGGTGAGGGGCTGACTGCTCAGTGGGACCCAGGAATGCTGAGGAGGGTGGGGGTGTGTATGTGTCTGGCCGTGCCACCAGCTGGCATTGCCCAGGTTTGACTGACTGGGGGGAATTCTCCCCTCCACAGAGAGCATGTGATAGAGACTCTGGGAGGCAGCAGGGCCTAGTGGAGAGAGCCTGCCCCCATGTTTATGCAGCACCTGGCACAGCGAGGGCCAGTTGCAGCCGAGGCATCTAGATTCCCCTATAACACAAGTGGCAGGCATAGCGGATCTGAGCTAACCTCCCTTGGAGTCAGTGAAACTCACTTCCACAGGCTTTAGATCAGGCCTGTAAACAACCACCCAAGAAATGGGCTACTCAGCCTGGCCCTGAGCCAGTGACAGTGATTTGTGGCTAATGGATTCATTGGTATGTGCTGTGTGAGTGGGGGGTTCACAAGGCATTTAAATCAAAGGGCAGGGAGCTAGACCTGAGGCCACTGCCTATTTGAATAGTCACGGGAGGCCGGGAGCCGTGGAAACCTGCTCTGCAGTAGGAAGATGTGCCATCCCTGCAGCCTTTCCATGATCCTGTTAATAACAAATGTTACCTTACTTCTCTAACACTTTCCAGCCTCTCTACCTGCCATGGAAATGCAGCCACCTCTGGGGTGGAACATGGCAGCTGTAGAACAGCACGTGACAAGGCAGCAGTGATTCCAGGTGGGGAAATGAAGAGGAACATTGTACCCAATTGAAATGACAAAAGGAAACAGACTATAATGATCAGGACCAGGGCACTGAGGCGGATACAGACTGTGTCATGGGGTCTTTGTCATCCATCTCTGGTGCATTGATTTGGACCCAGATCCTCAAAGTGCCTAACTCCCATTGACATCAGCCAGCGCTGACCATCTGCCCCCATTGGATTTCAATGGGAATTAGGTGCCTAAATGCCTGAGGATCCAGCCCTCAGTGCTGGCTCCAAGGGAAGACTGCCACCTACCGAGTCACCAACGCACTTCAAGTGATGAAGGGCCCCAGGTTGCTTAGGGAGAAATGCAGATAAGCCCGGCTACCTAGGAATCAAACCTGACTCCTGGGGTAACTGACACAGCATCATTCACCAAGAAAGCAGCGATCACTGTGTAAATAGCAGGGGCTGTGAAATAACATGATGTAGCCAACAGAGGGGCCCCTCACTTTATGGCACATTTAGCAAAACATCAGATTTCATGCAGCGAGCCAGCAAAGGTTTGAAGTGGCTCATGTCTGGATCAAAGGGAAGTTCTGGGAGCAAAAGGTCATTTGACTCTGAGTCAGCTCTGAGGCTCTGTGCCATTTGCATATTGGATAAAACAATTGAATTAGCTAATTTGGTCAAAAATTCCCAACTCCAAAGAGATCAGAATTAGCGTATGCAGGGAATTGATTGCATCCTTCAGACAATGCCTCAGGCTTCAAAGGGAACTTCAGACTTGGACTGACCAGACAGAGCCTGAAGAGGGGGAGAAGCAGCGAGAGGAAGCGGCCCAGGGAGAGTCGCCGTTTGAGCTTTGGTAAGAGTTCTGATGATGATCATTACGTATAACTTGTAGTGCAGTCAGAGCCCCAGTCATGGCCCCGCCGTGTGAGGTGCTGTACAAACACACAACAAAAGCCCTGACGGTCTATGCAGCGTAAGCAGGTGTAGCTCCCAAATGAAGCCTGAAATTGCACCTGCTCGTGGCAGGAGCGAATCTGGCCCATCATCCATATTTCTTGTCTTTAATTTCTGTAATGAAATTAATTCTGCTAAGCGCAGGTCAGTAATAACCCTACCTTCAGGATGGGATTTTGCAGCCAAACGTTCAAAATGGCCAGTGATTTTGGGAACCCAACTTGAGACCTGATTTCAGAGGTGCCCAGTGTCGACAGCTCCCGTTGACGTCAGGCAGTTTTGCTCTTTAAAAGGGCCAGGACCACAATGAAACCGACTCTGGTCCCCATCCTGCAGTGAGCTGTGTGTAAAAGCAGAGCTGGTTGCTGGAGCGGCAAGTCCTGCAGCTGTTTTGGGTCCTGCACTGGAAAGGCAGGCAGCCAGCAACTACTCCCAGAAACAGGTGGGAAGGAGAGGAAGCGCATGGTGGCGCTGGGAGGCCATGAGAGGCTGGGGGTTGATAGGCAGGGACACACACACACCGCACGTTCATTCGTAAGGAATGAGCTTAATCATCAGTTAGTTTGCTGGTCATTGGTGGGTAATGCCTTTAGGCAAATGAATCAATTGGGAAACAGTTCTGCACTAATGAGTCACGAATGTTACGTCTTCAGCAGGTTCTGCTGATTTTATAACTGTTCGCACTGGACTCTAATGGACGAGCTAGGTTTCTGGTGATCGATTATTGGCCAGTTATTTATGTGGCTGAATTGTGTTTAACACGTTATTGATGAATTGTGACTTACTGCCAAGCCGTTGTCCTGTTATTTACCCGAGGGTTAGGGTGGAGTGATTATCAGCTGATTATCGATCATTAATCAGACGATTATCGATTATCGATGGATATGATCAGCCGTCGCTTTGGAAAATCATTTGCTAATCCAAATAAATAATGACAGTCCGTTGAGGGGGAGTTAATTCAGGATCGATTATCGATCGTTGCCAATACCGCTGATCGATCATTATTAATCGATTATCTCCCATGCCCTCCACCCCGCCCTGCCGCCAGCTGTAGCCCGCGGGGCCAGCCCTGCCCATCGATGCTCTCGACGCCGGCCTGCTCCCCCAATCGATGCTCTCGGCTGCTCCTGCGGCAACCTGGCTATCGACGCGCTTCGCCGCTGCCCGGGGCTTCTCCCTGGCTCGATGCTCTCGGCACTCGCCTGCTTCCCTGGCTCCCGAGGGCTCGGTGCCCAGTGGCTCCCTGCTCGCTCGATTCATTCGGCGCTCGGCTGCTGCCAACGCCCCCCCCCCGAACGATGCTTTCGGTTGCTCCCTGCCAGCTCGATGCGCTCGGCGCGCGGTTGCCCCCGCCTGTCTCCTGGCAGTGGGACCGGAAGTGGCTCGGGGCGGGGAGGGGGGCCCGGTCCCTCCTCAGGTGAAGCCGCCGCCGATGGAGCCGCCGCTGCGGAGCCGCTGAGCCCCCCAGTCCCCACCCCGCAGCGGCCGGGCCGGGGGGCCCCTCCCCGCAGCCCCCCCTCAGGTGAGAAGGGGGCGGGGCAGCCTGGCTGGGGGGCCTGGAGGAGGGGCAGTGGGAAAGGGCGGGGGTGGCTGTGCAGCGGCGGGGGGGGGTCAGCGGGGAGGGGGGTTGGCGGGTCTGAGGAGGGGAGGGGGAGGGGTAGAGGGGGGTGGGCTGTGGCTATGGAGAGGTGATGGGTGGGGAGGGCATAGAGGAGGAGGGGCTGGGCCGTGGGGAGGGTCATTGGGAAGGGGAGGGGGTGGGCCGTGGGGAGGGGATACAGTGGGAGGGGCTGGGCCGTGGGGAGGGGTGAGGAGGGGTAGGCATGGAGAGGGTATTGGGAAGGGGTGGGGGGTAGGCTGTGGGGAGGGGTACAGGGGGAGGGGGGCTGGGCTGTGGGGCGGGGATAGAGGAGGAGGGGTAGGCCATGGAGAGGGTCATTGGGAAGGGGTGGGGGGTAGGCCGTGGGGAGGGGATACAGTGGGAGGGGCTGGGCCGTGGGGAGGGGGGCTGGGCTGTGCGGCGGGGATAGAGGAGGGGTAGGCCATGGAGAGGGTCATTGGGAAGGGGTGGGGGGTAGGCTGTGGGGAGGGGGTTGGCAGAAGGGTTGGGGGCAGGGGCAGCTGTCCAGGAGTGGAGGGGAGCTAAGGGAGGCATCTGGGGTGGGTGGGGGGAGGTGAGGTGGGTACAGAGGCATCACTCTGGGTGGGAGGGGATGGCTGAGAGGAGGCAGGTAGGGTAATGGGGTGCAGCTGGCTGAGGGTGGAGGGCTGATAGGGGAACTATTGGGACTGGGGAGGGGGAAGAATTGGGGAGTGTTTCTCTGTTGCACAGGAGACCCAGACTTCCCTTTTGAAGCCCCTTTTCTTCATGTTTTAAAGGGGGGAGCACTGGTGTAAGAGGGGATAGACCGGGGACATACCTGGGTCCGTCTACTTTCCCTTCTCTGTTCCTCTCCATATACTGCCTTGCAAGCTTGGTAGCTTTAGGGAACTGGGGAGGGGCGGGGGTTACACCCTACCCTCTACAGGGATCAGACTAAAGAATCCACAATAAATCGTTGCCTCCTAGGGTTTTACTTGTAGTTACTTTTAGAAAAGAGGAAAGAAATGCTCTCCGTTTCCCCCACCCCCACTTCCAGCCTTGTTACCCTTCTCCCTTTACGCTGGCCACTCCCAGCTCTCAAATGGTCCTGCAGTTTGAAATGATATTCCTCTAGAAGAAAAAATAAACTTAACTTGACTGTTTCGTTGGTGCATGGTGATACCAGGCACCCTGTGGGTGTGTGGGAAGAGTGAAGGGTTTCACGTTTTTAGAAATGCAACGAAAGTTGCTTATTTCTAGTCCTTCAGGGACAGTGAATCTTGTTGGATTTCCATAAAATTTCTTTGCTTCCCTGCTTCAGTCCAGTGTCTTGTAGGTTGATTTGTCTGATCATCTTACGTTCTTGGAGGAATTATTTTTTTGGTTGGGCAAAGTAACTTACCCTTTTCCTAGCCCAGCAGATGCAGCTGTGTGCACATTGTATTACGTACAGCCGGTGTGATGGTGAAATGGAATACTGTCTTGTAATGCACACGCACAAGATGGCGGAGTTAAGGTTAAGGCTGCTGTTGGATAATACTTAGCACTTTTCGTCTGAGAAGCGTGAAACTGTCAGGTTGGTGTCTGGCTTAGATGATGATTTCCTTGCTCAGCTTTATCTCTGCACTAACAGTTCCATTTGTTGGGGTATTTGGAAGATTTACTCATAATCTTGAATGTCTTTACCCACCTCAAACCCCCCTGAGGGGGGGAAGGGCTGCTATCCTCATTTTACAGATGGGGAGCTGAGCCACAAAGAGCCTAAGTGACTTGACCAAGGTCATTCAAGGAGTCAGTGGTGGAGCAGGGAACTGAACACAGGTGTCCCACGCTAGCACCTGTGATTACTTTATTTGTATTACCATCATGCATAGGAGTCCTAGTCATGGACCAGGCTCCGTTGTGCTAGGCGCTGTTCAGGCCTAGCCAGTGGACCATCCTTTCTTTATCACCTGATGTTCGGTACCTCCGGAGGAGGATTTGTGCAGAGTGTCACCTGCTGAATGGCACCCGACCAATGATGTATGTTGTTTGCCTCATGACTGAAGACGACTTAGATCCAAGCAAAATCTAAGCGTCCTCCCTACATGAGGAGTATTGCCTCACTACAGCACACACAAACCCTCCACAAAAGCGTTCCTCGCTGGGACAAGGCATTGTCCACAGGTGCCTTTCAGAAAGTTGCGGGCCCGGTATGACACATTCAGTAGGGCCCCACCCACTCCCATTTCACTTTATTTATGCAGAGGTGACAGATGTTTTGGGGGGCAGCCCTGAGCTCAGGGTCCCAGTACAATTGCCCCTTATCAGCCCTGGTTGTCCATGCAGTCCGTGTGCATTTCCACAGAGGCTAGGCTTGGGTTCTCCAGCAATCGCAGGGGAGGGATGTATTAATTCTTTTCTATCCACATGCAGTACCTCAGCATAGGTAGGGGCCGTGGAGGCTTAAGGAAGAAGGATCCAAATTTCCTAGTGTGGCAGGGGTAAGGCGCATGAAGAGGCAGCAGCAGCAGCTTTGCAGCGAGACGTTCTTGGACCACAAGCTGTTGTTGGCAGCTTGAGGATAAACGTAGCTGCCTCTTCTGTGTACTCCTCTGTCTGGTTGTGGGGCTTTTGAACTCTCGAGTGAGCTGACCAGGCTTAGAAGTGGGCTGTCCTGGAACCTGTGTGCTAGAAGCAATGATATTTCTTATCTGTGGTTCAGCTGCCCCCAGAGGGAGGGCTGGTCCTGTGACCAAAGCACAGGGCAGGAGTCCCTTGCTATGTTTCTAGCTCTGCCACTGACTCAATGTGTGCTTTTTGGCAAGTCAGATAATGTCTCCATGCCTCAGTTTCCCTATTAGTAAGGTGGGGGAATATCTTGAGGAAGGTTAAGAAAATGTAACGCTTTAATCATAATATTTGTAAAGTGTCTCAAGGTCCTCAGATAAGTGGTGCTGTGTTACTGGAGGAAGCAGTCTATTCCTCATGCCCTACGTCTGCTCCTCTGAAACAGTACGTTTGGCGTACAGAAGTGCCAAGTGCAACATTATGTAGGCAAAGTTTTGGAGTGTTTTCAGACTAGGATTCAAGGTGTGTTCTTACCACTAAAGACAAGGCAGTCTGTAGTTGTCATGTGTGTTAGCAGGTTGAGGTACACGCTAGGAAACTAGAATGTGAAAACGAGCATGCCTTGTCTTCCCTAGGATTTCACCTCATGTTATTTAGCGCGTGGTATGATCGCTCCCCTTCTTGCTTGGTGAAGACCAGGGCACGGTTATTGCTGAGTTGTTGATCAAGGCTGCAGAGGTATCGGGAGGAGAAGGGTAAGTATTGTCCTCACTTAGAACTTGTCTTGTGCATGTAGTGAGAGACCCAGTGCAGATGGGATAATGATTTTGGGCTTCGTCTTAACTTTCACTTTCAGGGACTCCATGAAACCTCAGAGACCTCAGTGAGTCATGTCCCCCAGCTTGCAAAGGCTGAGCTTGGAGACCTAGTGAAAGGTCGCTGTTTAGAGTGGGAGGCAGCTTGGCCTAGTAGTTAACTTGATTCCCCAAAAGCCTTAATTCCTTTGGGAAATTTATACAGCAGCAGTTTGTACTCTGGTAACGGAATTATAGGACCACAGATATTCGGTTTTGGTCTCCCATCCTGTGAGATGGAGATGGGGTTATGTGAGGTCACCAGAGGGGGAAGAGGTAGAAAGTGCCAATGCGGGGGTGAGAGAGCGTGTGAGGATTATTTATTCTGTTTGCAGTGGATCAATTCAGTTGAAAGCTTGTGTGTGTCTGGCATTGGTACAGTTAATGTTAGTCAAGTACTTTGTGTTTCTGTACTGCCTCATGTTGGATCTCAAAATATTGGTGTTCAAAAGTGCAGTACGCCTTTATTTGTACAGATCGCTGTCACTCTAGGGTGGTGGGTGGGAGTGGGACTGACTTTCCATTTGTCTGTGAATCCGTCTAGGCAAATGCCGAGGAGGTCGTGTTTTCCTTCATTCCCTTAGAAATAAAAGAAGCTTCTTGCATTTCATGTACCTCTTATAGTTTTGAGCAGAGCAGCCCATGATTATGGTGGTTGTTGATTCAAATTGTGGTAGTGTCCCGAGAACTCAGCAAGGACCTAGATGCTGTTCAAAACCACGGTAAGAGGCGGTCCTCCTTGTTATGCTTTGAATTCAAACTTTGCTTTACAAGTTTTTTAATCTGTGTTTAGGAGCAGTAGTTGAACTTGCTATTTTGTTATGCCTCTATCAATAAATAAAAAGTATATTGCTACGTGGGAAACGTACACATAGGCCTCCTATTAGCATTATTAGAAAGTTACATCTCTGAGAGACTCTTTCCAATAATATTATCCTAAAAAAAAATAAAGCACATTTGCTTCAGTCAAATAGAGTTCTTGTAACAGGTCATATTTTATATAAAGCCACTAGGTCGGACCTAACTTTGGGTGTTGTCCAAAGGAAATGGATTTAGGTCTCTAAAGTAGTTTATCGTATCACTTGCGCGCACACACACCCCCCCACTCTGATTTTTCAAGCATTATCTTCATAGAAGGGACAGAATTTTGCTCATATTTACGCAGCCTTTAGACTAGGGGACTCTAACATGGGAGATTTTTTAAGAGCTGCTTGGTGTTAAGTGTGCTTGTCCACTGATGTTCTTAGAGGGGAAAATATCCAACTTATCCTTATAGCTTAGGATGCTGCGAAGTGTAAGAAAAAGGTGGTGATGAGTTGACCAGCGCAGTAAAGGGGATCTGTTTATTAGGATAAGTCCCTACGACAAAGGGATCTCACTAAACTGGGTGACTGGCCGAGGAAATTCAATGCTGATAAATGCAAATGCACGTTGGGGGGAAAAAATAATTCCAACTATACGTACAAAATGATGTAGTCAGAACTAGCTGTTGCCTCTAAGATCTCTTTTGGGAGTGTATCGTTGGTAGTTCCCTAAAAACATCTGTTTAATGTGCAGCCGTAGTCAAAAGAGCTCCTGACGTTAGGAACCACTAGGAACGGGATAGATAATAAGACAGAAAATATCGTGATGTCACTATTATAAATCCATGGTATGGCCACACCTAGAATACTGTGTGCAGTTCTGGTCACTTCATCTGCAAGATACATTAGAATTGGAAAAGGTGCAGAGAAGGGCATTGAAAATGATTAAGGGTATAGGACAGCTTCCATCTGAGGAAAGATTAAAAAGACGGGGACTGTTTTTCTTAGAAAAGGGGATGACTAAGGGGGGGGGATATGATAGAGATCTATAAAATCATGAATGGCACAGAAAAAGTGAATAGGGAAGTGTTATTTACCCCTTCACATCACACAAGAATTAGGGGTCACCAGATTAAATTAATAGGCAGCAGGTTTAAAACAAACAAAATAAAGTTCCGCTTCACACAGCGCACAACCAAACTGTGGAACTCGTTGCCAGAGGGTGTTGTGAGGGCCAAAAGTATAAGTGGGTCCAAAAAAACAATTAGGTAAGTTCCTGGAGGAAGGTCCATCAATGGCTATAAGCCAAGATGGCCAGGGACACATCCGCATCCTCCAGATATCCTTAAACCACTGCTGCTAGAAACTGGGACTGGATAAAGGAGGGGGTGGATCACTTGAAATTGACCTGTTCTCTTCATTCCCTCTGAAGCTTCTGGCAGTGGCCACTGTTGGAAGACAAGAGACTGGGCTAGATGGACCATTGGTCTGACCCAGAATGGCCGTTCTGATGTAGTAATCTTCTGTCAAGTGGATGAGTTAGATTTATTTCTAGATCACATTTCTTTCTCCCATTCTTAAAGCAATAACTTAAAAAGGCTGCAGCTTAACACCTTATTATTGCATTAAATTTGCCCAGTAACACCTCATTAGACAGCACGCTTCATAATAAGCGCCCAAGAGCATCAGTGGTCCCTTCCCAATTCAGAAACAATGCACAGGTAGACGCTGCCTTTTGGTCTAGTATTACATTGAATTCATTTTTCCAGTTATACTGCAGGCTGTTTACTAAGCTATTACAAAGCATTAATTTTATCCATTGCAGTTGAGTTTTCATTATTTAAGGGACAAAGACAACATCCCGATGGGCTAGCGCTCTGTTTTGATTTTGTCTATTTACTTGCTAATTTGTCCAAACCACTCGGCTGCGAAGGGTGTTCTCCAGTTCTGCTCTAGCAGATAATTGCAGCTAGCCGCGGCAGCGTGTGAGTACATACTCGGAGCTGGGAAAGCCGCTTCCTTGGCATTTAAATCATTGGCAGTTTGATTAAAAACAAACAGTTTTTTTAAATCCTTTGCGCTGAGCTTGTTTTTTGAAATGCTTCCAGTGACCCAAAAATAAAAAAAAAAAAAATGGTTCATCCGATGAGCGTCTGCCTGTAGCAAAGGTGGAAAAAAGTCCTCATGCTGGAAAATAAACTGCTGGTGATGGAAACAATGGGTTGGAAAAAGAAAATACAGGGGCGTTTATGGCTCTTATTAATTCTTACCCTAGCAGAGAAGCTAATTATGGCTGCGTCTGCCCTAGATCTATTTCTTCACACGTCCCACAGTTGCAGTTCAACTGGTGGTGTGATGCTTGTATAAATTCTACTACTACCCGCGCTTGTGTAGGGGCTTCTCATCCATAAGTCTCGAAGTGCTTTACCAAGGAGGTCAGTATCATTATCTGTAGGATGGGGAAACTGAGGCACGGAGTTAAGGTGATTTGCCCAGTGGTGGAGCTGGGAATAGGGTTCAGTGCTCTGTCCTCCTAGGCCATGCTGCCTCAGCCCATAGTCCTCTTCTGGACTCTGTATACATTAGCACTCCCACCATTAGTACTTTGGTTGGAGCTGCCAATGTGCACAAACCTCTTGGGTAAGTTTATCCTCTGTCAATGACTCCATGGCTGACCAAGTCATTAGAAGAATGAAGATGTTCTGAAGAGTTTGCTTTTAGACATTTGCTTTCCCTTGTTTGAATGATTCACTTGTTGAACTGACACTGCAGTCAGCTTGTGAGGCCTCCCTGTGTTCTTCCTGGACAGCCCTATGTGGGAAGGAGAAAGGTAGCCTACGTTGCAGTGTTTGCTCTTGGCATGTTTTCAGGATTGGGAATGTCTCTGTCTGTTCCTGATTAGCTTCGGGTCAGGACTGAAACTATTTCAATTATATCCCGTCACCCTAGTAAAATAAATTGTCTTCAGTTTTCAAAGCATTCTTCTAATTGGTAAAACCAACATAGAAAAGTCCAAGCAGAGAGAGGTTCTGCAAATCTTTGAAGTGATGTCGCTTATTAAGCACTTGCTTGTCTACTGATCATTGTTATCTCAATTCCTGGCCTTTGGCTTTAGATCTCAAAGGGCTGTACAAACATTAGCTAATACTCACAACTGATGTTACAAGGATCTTCACCTGTATTTTACAGATGGGGAAACTGAAACACAGGAGATGAAATTTACTTGCCTGTGTCAGTGGTGGTTGGGGGTGGAATTCTGAAGTTCTTGATTGCCAAACCTGATGCTCGGACTGCTAGACTATGCCATCTCTCTGATGTCTTATGTTGTAGGAAGGCAGCAAGGATGTATTTCAAAGTTCTGACAATGCTTCCTTATGAAACCAAGTTCCTGAAGAAAGTTTAATAATATAAAGCTGACCCGCAAAGGAATAAAAAGTTTGTCTTTTTTTTTGTATTTTATTTACTTATTGCTTCCTTGTGATGATAAAATGTAAGGTTTTTGTTTGGTTTTTTAACTGTCAGCAATATCAAGTCTTGTCTGTCTTGTTTTTGATGGAAGGTTCCTGCAGGACTAGAAAATTGTTGTGGGAACTTTCTCAGCACTCAGTTGAAGTACCAGTTTGAATCTTTCACACACAGTTTTTGTCCCAAGAGTGCATCAGATGTTGGAGTTAAATAGATGCTTAGAAAAACAATGTTTGGAATAAGTCTGGCTGAAAAATAAACCAACAAATCTTCCTCTTCTTAATTGCTTAGCTTTCCGTTTTTATGGCTGATTCTTAATATAAAACATTTTTGGTGATGGAGAAAATAAACCAAATTCCTATTACAAAAGGAAAGTAAAATTAGAACAGGAGCATAAACTCTGGCAAATCAAGTGTAAAAGTATAATTAGGGAGACCAAAAAGGAATTTGAAGAGCAGCTAGCAAAAGACACAAAAACTAATATTTATTTTTTTTAAGTATGTCGGAAGCAGGAAGCCTTCCAAACAATCAGTGGGGTCGCTGGACGATCGAGGTGCTAAAGGAGCACTCAAGGAAGACAAGGCCATTGTGGAGAAACTAAATGAATTCTTTGCATCAGTCTTCACTGTGGAGGTTGTGAGGGAGATCCTCACATCCGAGCCATTATTTTTAGAATGACAAATCTGAGGACCTGTCCCAGATTGAGGTGTCAGTAGAGGAGGTTTTGGAACAAACTGATAAACAGTAATAGGTCACCAGGAGCAAACGGGATTCACCCAAGAGTTCTGAAGGAACTCGGATATGAAATTACAGAACTACTAACTCTGGTATGTAACTTATAGCTTAAATTGGCCTTTGTACCAGAGGATTGGAAGACGGCTAATATAACACCAATCTTTAAAAAAGGCTCCAGAGGCAATCTTGACAATTACACACCAGTAAGCCCATTTGTTGAGGAAGAGTCAGCATGGCTTTTGTGAAGGGAAATGTTGCCTCACCAATCTATTAGAATTCTTGTAGGGGGTCAACAAACATGGTAACTGAGTGGATGTAGTATACTTGGACTTTCAGAAAGCCTTTGCCAAGGTTCCTCACCAAAGGCTCTTAAACAAAGTGAGCAGTCGTGGGATAAGAGGGAAGGTCCTCTCATGGATCAGTAACTGGTTAAAAGCTAGAAAACAAAGGATAGGAATAAATTATCGGTATTCACAGCATAGAGAGGTAAATAGTGGGGTTCCCCAAAGATCTGTACTAGAACCAGTGCTGGTCAACATATTCATAAATGATTTGGAACAGTGGGTGAACAGTGAGGTGGCAAAGTTTGCAGATGGTACAAAACTACTCAAGATAGTTAAGTCTAAAGCTGACTACAAAGAGTTACAAAGGGATCTCACAAAACTCTGTAATTAGGCAAGAAAATGGCAGATGAAATTCAACGTTGATAAATGGAAAAT